AGCAAGCAAAGAGCAAAGCGAGTCAATACGTATACGTAGGCTTTACGAGTTGTTTGGCAAGTAGAGTTGTTCTCCCACATTAACTTGGCAAAGTCAGCCGTGCAGTGGCGCAGACCTGACCTCAAGCCGCCCTTTTGCAAATACTACATAATGACGACTTACCGGAGTAGACTTTCAGTACCATACCCCACGCCCTTGCTTGTTGAGCCTGGCCACGGTCGTGAGCTTGGTAGAGGGAGACCCACGCGTGTGTACTAGGCAGAAACACAGCCAAGGGCCGGTGACTCGGTAGCTGTCTCTTTGTCAGGTAAATTCTATGCCACTCGCCTGACTCACTTCGTCGGGCCAATTTTCTTGTTTTTTTGACCAAATATTTTGTTTCTTCCTTGCAATAATGCTTAATGTTCAGAAATTTGTGTTCAAATTTATCTCAACTAGAGGGTCAAATATTGAAAAAAAAACTATCTAACTCAAAAGCACGGCAAATTTTAGACGGGCGGGCCGGGTCGGGTATGGACGCCAGCAATGTTAGGCTAGCGGGCACACGTTAACCCGCCCAAGCGAAAACACTGCAGGTAGCATTAGTACGAAAAGTCTAAAACGTTTTGCTTCATAACCTGCAAAGATAGTAAGTGGAAAAAACAACGCTCTGTAATTACCAGGGCTGGCAAAAAGAATTAAATCTTATTTTAAAATGAGCCTTTGGGAAAGCAAAATATTTCGCCAGGACGAAACATTTTGCCTTAAGGCAAAATCATAAAGCCCTGTCGAAATTCGTCCGCAACGCAAAGGGCAAAACCTTACACTGTTATTCAAGGAATGTGACGTCACACTCGTTTCAATGTAAAACGCGTCACATTCGTTTGAATATTGTGTCACATTCATTTAAACGTGACATCATGTGAATTGATGCTCTAATGGCGCCAGGCTTGGCCGATTCACGTTTAAACGAATATGATACAACATTCAAATGAACGTGACACGATTCACACTAAAACGAATGTGATGTCACAGTCGTTCAATAACAGTGTATAATAATAATTTTACCTAGGGAAAATTTCTGGGGCAAGAATTCTTTTTATCTCCGAGGGCAGAATTTGATGATTGGTCTAAATTAAACCTCAAAATAAATGAGGTCCCATGAGTCCGAGATAAGTGAGACTACCCGAGATGCGTCAAGGGATGCTAGCTAGAGTTCCAGAACCTTGACTTTGGGCAGGAGACAAGGCCCAGTTGGGGTTGCGAGGATTTCCGTGGTCCAGGAGTGAAATGTCTGAAAATTTCAAACACAACTCCTTCGTGATGTTGAAGCCTCAAAAAGTTAATTCAATTCAGTATTTTACCCCCGAATAAAAAAGATTTGACCCAGGGGCAAAATTATTTTGATTTAGCCCCTTGGATTTAATTTTGCCTAGGAATAAAGTCCTCATTTAAATTCTGCCCATTTAGATTTTTCCCTCATGAAGGGCAAAATTATCGAGGGAGTATAATTCAATTGAATTTATTTTGCCACCCCTGGTAATCACGAAGCCCTACGGGTAAATCGTCAAAGTAGAACCCTCCTGGTTTCTGAAGTCCAAAGCCGGTGTATGCGCTCCATATATTCTTTCTCTCTCCAAAAACGGAAAATAGGAATCTCATGTTCTAACTCTCCATAGGGTTAAGCATGCGGCAAGAACTCCTGAAATTATCAATATACGCTGACTGCATTATAAATTCTCATTCTTCAAGCTTTCATTGTGCATGTCCCGGACCAGCTGATAACGGGAACGAGCTGCCCGATTGCGTTTTATTCGTTTGTTGGGTTGTTGGGCTCGGCGCACATGGCTTGCGCCGCTCTTTTCCGTGGTGCCGGCACGGCCGTCGCGACGGCGCGAGGCACGGTGGAGCTGCGAGTAGTGACACAACTTCATGCAGTTCTCTGCGAGGTGGGTTTATATTGCACACTGCTCTTACATTCATTCTCCTCTTCTTCTTCTTCTTCTTCTTCTTCTT